CTGCTTATTTGTTCATTTTGTTTTTAGGTTCAATTGTTGATAGATATGTATTTATTGCCATTTTATTGTTCATATTTTTTATCTTCTTTTAAAAAAAAGTCTCTTTAACATTTCATATAGTACTAGTTTGGTGAAGATGAACTCCTTTAGCTCTGAAAAGCTCTTTATTTGCCCTTCAATTCTAAATGATAGCTTTGCTGGGTAGAGTAATCTTGGTTGTAGATGCTTGCTTTTCATGACTTTGAATATTTCTTGCCAATCCATTCTGCCTACAAAGTTTCTTTGAGAAATCAGATGACAGTTTTGTGAAAGAAAAGAGCCACATGCTAACCTGACAAGCTCAGGGGAGGCCTGCGTGGCAGTTTTGCAAACTTAGAGACCTAAAATAACCACAAAAGATGGTCTGAAAATTAAATATCTAACTACAAACAGGTTATAGTGGGTAGTCATGTTCTAGGCCCATATTTTCCCAAATAAAAATCAACTTCGATCTTTTCACTGAGCCCATTTGCCTTTTTTGCCTCTAAGATAACATATCTGTCTATGAGATGTCTGGGTAACTTGTAACTTCCCTTTTTCCGGAGCCTCTGGGGCACAACCAAATGTGGTGGGCGCCAGGACAGATGCCTCAAATTCCTTCTTTATCATGTTAATTGTTCCGGCTTTCATCTGAGTACACGTCCATCATTTTACTTTTTATCCAATCCCAGGAGTTTCCCACTGCTTTGCTTTCTCCCGCCTCCTGACTCCATCACCAATGAGTTTCATGTAACCCACCTATGTCCCTCCTTTGATTTCAGTGTATAAATAGAAATGTAACCCTGCCATTCTTCGGAGCATTATCTCAATCCATTGAGGTTCTGCTTCCCGGCATATGTCGACAGTTTGGCTCAAATAAACTCACAAAAATTCTTTACAGGTTTCAATGGTTTTTCATTAAGAGTTTTATACATGTCCCCTTGTAGGTAACTAACTGCTTTTCTCTTGTTTTTAAGATTCTTGCCTTTAACATTTTGCATTTTAAGTATGATGTTTCTTGGGCCTCTTTGGATTCATCTTGTTTGGGACTTTGCTTCCTGGACTTGTATTTCTATATCTTTCACCAAGTTAGGGAAGTTTCCTGTCATTATTTTTTCAAATAGTTTTTCAATTTCTCACTCTCCCTTTTCCTTCCAGTACCCTCAGCGATGCAAATGTTGGTATGTTCAAAGTTGTCTCAGAGGCTCCTTACACTACCTTCATTTTTTAAAATTCTTTTTTTTCTTTTTGCTGTTTGAATGGGTGTTTTTTGCTTCATTATATTATAAACCATCAACTCAATTCTCAGTTTCATCTACTCTACTGTTGATTCTCTATAAGTTATTCTTTATTTCGGTTAGTGTATTCTTCATTTCTGACTGGTTCTTTTTTATGTTGCTGAGGTTCTCACTAAATTCATTGAGCAATACTATAACCAGTGTTTTGAACTCTGCATCTAGTAGATTAGGGGTGTCAAACTCAATCAGAGAAGGGGCCAAAATCTAAAATCCAGCCTAAATCGCGGGCCAAATGGTTTACTGAACAGTCATAAACTGTCATTGTGATGGAAACGCAGCGGAGTGCAGTGATGACAGCGCGGTGCGGGCCACATTGCAAGGCCTGGCGGGACGGATTTGGCCCATGGGCCTTGTGTTTGACACATGTGTAGTAGATTGTTTGTCTCCATTCTCTTTGGTTCTTTTTCTGGAGTTTTTTGTTCTGTTCTTTCACTTGGGCCATGTTCTTTTGTCTCCTCATTTTGGCAGTCTCCTGTGTTTATTTCTATGTATTAGATAGAGTCGTTATGTCTTCCTGGCTTAGTATTGTGGCCTAATGTAATAGGTGTTCTGTAGGGTCCAGTGATACAGCCTCCCCAATCACTCAAGCTGGGCATCTCTCCATTCCCCCATTTGGGCTGTACGCTCTCCTGTTCAGGTTGAGCTGTGATTGCTGTTGGCATGACAATATGAGGGAATTATCCAGGCCCATATCTTCAAGGACTGGCTGTGACAACCGACCACTGACCTCCAACCACCGTGGAGGGTCAGCTATGCAGGGCCCCACCACACAAAGCAAGACATATTATACTTCAGCAGGGCTCTGGTGTCTGCTGAGTCTACTCTTGAGTGTCTCACTTGTAGAGGTGATTAGGTTGTGCTTTAATGTGTTTTGAAGCTGTCCACTAGGTTGGTTGTTCTGAGGCCTCCAGATAGGTGTATGACAAGGTGAGCCACCATCTGTGCTTTGTCCAGGACCACCTTCCGTAAGTTACAAAACGATCTGTAGATGTTGCTTTTTGTGCTGGGTTTGGAGGTACACAGTCAAGGTCAAGCTGTGAATAAAGGCTGGTTGCTGCTAGTGTCAGGCCTGGGGCAACTTAGCAAGAGGTATGGGGTTTGCTGAGGCCAAGATGCTGCTTTGTGAGAGATTTTAGGAAAATCTGAAGCATGTATCAAGACAAGCTATGGAAAAACCACTGGAAACAGCCGGGACCGGTTTGGCTCAGTGGATAGAGCGTCGGCCTGGGGACTGAAAGGTCCCGGGTTCGATTCCGGTCAAGGGCATGTACCTTGGTTGCGGGCGCATCCCCAGTAGGGGGTGTGCAAGAGGCAGCTGATCAATGATTCTCTCTCATCGATGTTTCTAACTCTATCCCTCTGTCTTCCTCTCTGTGAAAAATCAATAAAATATATATTAAAAAAAAATTTTTTTTAAAGAAAAACCACTGGAAACAGCTTGGGTGGGCTTGAAAGTTGGGTGGGGCAGAGCCTCTGAGAATCTCCAGGGTGGGGCAAACAGTGTGAGTCAGGTTGATTGATACTCAGATATGGCACCTGTCTGCTGGCTTTGTGAGGGAAGGGCTCATTAAAATAACAAAGGATTCTGCCAGCACTTCTGTCTAGGAGAAAGCTCTCACCCTGATGCCAAACAATTCAGTCCCTCCCTATGTCTCTGGTACCTTTCAAGCTGCTGATTCCATGCTGGAGCTCAGAGGGAGGGAGTCCAAGTAAGTCTATGTGTGGGCCCTTTAAGAGGAACTGCCTGGGACTCCAAGCAGCCTCAGTCTTCCTCAGCCTCAATCCTGCTGCTTTTTACAACCAGAAGTTATGGGGACTTCTCTTCCTGGCACTGGAACACTAGATAGGGGGGCCTGGTGGGCTGGGACCTCTTCTCTTCAGGGGGACTTCCACAGCTGAGATATCCTTCCCAATTTTTATCCATCTTATGAGATATCCTTCCCAATTTTTATCCACCAGCCAACTCTGCATCTCTGCTTTTTTTTTTTTTTTTTTTTTTTTTTTTTTTTTTTTTTTTTACGAGTCTTGATGTGGCCTCTTTAATTTCCCAGTAGAACTTTGATTCAGCTCAATTTCAGGTGGTTCTGAATAATGGTTATTCTATAGTTTAGTTGTAATTTTTTGTTTGCTTTCTGTTAATTCTCACCTGAGGATATATTTTTTAATTAATTTTTAGAGAGAGTGGAAAGGAGGAAGACAGAGAGAGAGAGAGAGAGAGAGAGAGAGAGAGAAACACATGGATGTGTGAGAGATACATCAATTGGTTGCCTCCTGCATATGGCCTGAGTGGGGTCAGGGACTGAACCTGGAAGCCAGATACATGCTCTCGACAGGGAATTGAACCCAATACATTTTGGTGTGAGGGATGATGCTCTAATTACTGATAACACTAGCCAGAGCTAGTTGTAATTTTTGATGTGGTTATAGGAGAATGCAAGAACCACATTTACCTATGCTTCCAACTTGGGCAGAAGTCAAAACACACATTACTTTCAAAGGAGCAAAATAAGAATAATAGATGACATATCAATGAAAACAATGGGAGCTAAAAGACAAGTGAGATGATATCTTGAAAAATTATGAAGGAAGAAACAGCTAATCTAGAATTATATATATGAGAAAATATCTTTCAACAAATGAAGGCATATATTGTATTTCCAGACACACTAATGTGCCTTGTTTTCCATTGTGATAATCATTGGCTGGCTGCCTCCTACACACCCCTAACTGGGAATCCAGCCCTCAACCCAGGCATGTGCCTTTGACCGGAATCAAATCTGGGACCCTTCAGGCCACAGTCTGATGCTCCTTCCACTGAGTCAAACCAGCTATGGCTCAGCCTACTCTTTAATAGGGCTATTAACCTACTATATAATTCCCACCACACCCTCTACTCTCCCTCTGATTAACTACATTTACCCTTTAGTTTATATATAATAGAGTTATTTAACTTTTTTGTTTAATGTGTATGCATTTAATGTATGTCCTAAACAGTTCTCTCAGTCATAGCTAGTGCCTGAAGGGCAGGAGCATCATGCCTATCTCTAAGCAGAACTTTGCAAAGTACCATGAGAAAGGTGCGACCAATTGGAATTATTTTGTGTTCAGTGGTACTATTAAATATTTCAAGGCCTGAGAATATTTCATTTCCTCTGAAAAAACTGCCTCCCTTCATTACTCAGCTGGCTTTATCCCCTGCACCCCAGCCATCTCAGAACCAACCAGGACCACAATGCACTGGTAGACTTTGAGCCAAGAGGCTGGAACTGTTAGGACTCAGGAACTTCTTGGATGCACTATAGGGAGGGATTCAAAGGAAGTTCAACTGAGAGAACTCCCAGGTTTTTCCTCAAGACACAAAGATGATAAATATAATAGTATATAGAAACACCTACAAAGGTTTTTGTTTCCCTAATTGGATTGTGACTGATACACCATACGTAAGTACCTTACTTATTTGTTGACATGTTTATTACCTGTGCTCCTCCCGGCCCCCACCATGTACACTCCCTGGGGTAAGGACTTTGCTTTTTTTTTATTTTTTTATTGCCTTATCCCCTATATTATATTTCTCAAACAAGTGGATGGACTCAGGCATTGAAAAAATGGGACACTCCCAGCATCCAGGGACTAGGTGGGAGCTGCTGTAGGGAAAGTGATGATTGCATGGGTACAAAGTAGATTAGAATAAGGACTGGCATTTATTGGTACTAGGAAATTAGCCATTGCAATGACAAAATGACAGTGAGCTGCACAGCCAGTCTTCTTCTTTTCTTGACATCTGGGCAGTTAATCATGGTCAAATTCTTCCAGGTCATTGAACTTCTGGCCATCTCACACTTCTGGATGGGACACCACGGAATCCCTGGGCCCTGAACAGAATCTTGGGGAATTGTGAAAATGGCCCAGAGGACTATCCATCACCAGCATTGACTCTGCTGCTCACATCAGAGCCCTCCAAAGCCTCTGTTGTGGTGGGGAAGGATGCAGCTTGTATTTGATCTTGAGTATTTTCTTCAAGCTTAAAATCTATGCAATCATAGTCTTGTCCAAGATATTATACATACAAGTCAACATTGATGTCCTTGTAACCCTTGATGTCCTTAAATTTGTTGCTCCTCAGGTTAGCTTGAATCTGCCTTTGGCCACTTTTGAAGGGGACAGTCTTTAGAGTGATGCTGGCCCTGTGTTGGGGTTTGAGGACTCCAATGCTATAGATAGAGAGGAAAATGTCTGAAAAACTTAGATATTTGTGATCACCCCAAAGCCCTTTTTCACTCAGCAAGCTGGTCTCTCCTTTCCCAGTTTTCTCAGAGCCTGGCCTAAGAAAGCCCATGTCCAGAAATGACAGCACAGACCTCAGAATAAGACAGGAGAGAAAGCTTGGCACCTTTAACACTTACAAGACTCTCTGCTGTTTCTTGAAGAGACCACTTCCTTCCACAGTCAGCACACAGTCTGCAACCTGCTCTGATAGAGGGTTTGAAAATATCACCTGTATGGAGAGTGGCTGGTTCACAATGGCTGCTCCTAAGACCTAAACAGAGAAATCAGAAGAAAGGAAGAAGCAGAGAATTAATCTCATTCTCTAATTCACCACACATGTGGAGGGCATTGTTCCCTAGGTCTGTTTCTTGAAGAGCTGAGCTTCTATGTCCATGTTTTTCCAACTGGGAGTTGAAAAACCCTACAGACACAATAAAAAAAACTATTAGGCTTAATAAATGAATTTGGTAATGTAGCAGGATACAAAATTAGCACCCAGGAACCTATGGCTTTTTTATACAGCAATAATGAACTCACAGAAAGAGAAACAAAACAAAAAAAAATCTCATTTACCATTGCATCAAAAAAATTAAGATATCTAGGAATAAACTTAGCTAAGGAGGTAAAAGACCTGTACTTGGAAAACTACAGGACACTGAAAAAAGAGATAGAGGAAGAACATACCGTGTTCATGGACTGGTAGAATCAACATCATTAAAATGTCCATACTACCTAAAGCAATCTATAGATTTAATGCAATTCCCATTAAAATATCAATGGCATATTTCTCAGGCCTAGAACAAACTCTCCAAAAATTCATAAGGAAAAAAAAAAAAAAGACTCTAAATATCTGCGTCAATCTTGAGAAAGAAAACTAAGTTGGAGGGATCACAATAGCAGATATCAGGCTGTATTATAAAGCCACTGTTCTCAGAGTAGCCTGGTACTGGCACAAGAACAGATATATAGACCAATGGATCCGAACAGAGAACCCAGAAATTGACCTAAGCCATTGTGCTCAATTAGTATTTGACAAAGGAGGCAAGAGCATACAATAGAGTCAAGACAGTCTATTCAATAAATGGTGTTGGGAAAATTGGATGGATGCATGCAAAAAAATGAAACTAGACCACCAACTTGCACCATACACAAAAATAAACTCAAAATGGATAAAGAACTTAAACATAAGACAGGAAACCATAAAAATCTTAGAAGAATCCATAGGCAGCAAAATATCAGACATATGTCATAGCAATATCTTTACCGATACAGCTCCTACAGGTGTCGGCAACCTGTGGCTCAGGAGCCGCACGCGGCTCTTTTTGTTAAGTGAAAAAACCCTTTTTCTGCACCATCTGGTATACAGCATTAAGGTAAGAAACAATATATGCAGTGTTTTATTTGTTTTAAATGTCGCAATGGTTTTGCGGCTCCCAGGTGTTTTTTTTTCCCTTCGAAAACAGGTCCAAGTGGCTCTTTATGTCTTAAAGGTTGCCGACCCCTGTAGGGCAATGAAAACTAAGGAGAAAAGAAACAAATGTGACTACATTAAACTAAAAAACTTCTGCACAGCAAAAGAGACCATCAAAAAAACTACAAAAAAGCCCATTCATGGGAGAACATATTTGCCAATGTTATATCCGATAAGGGTCTAATCTCCAAAATTTATAGGGAATTCATACATTTTAACCAAAGGAAGATAAACAATCCAATTAAAAAAAAAATGGGCAAAGGACCTAAATAGACACTTCTCAAAAGTAGACATACAGAAGGCCAAGAGACATATGAAAACATGCTCAAAGTCACTAATCATCTGCGAGATGCAAATCAAAATGACATGAGGTATTATCTCACCCCAGTCAGAATGGCTATTATCAACAAATGACAAGTGCTGGAGAGGATGTAGAGAAAAAGGAACCCTCGTGCACTGCTGGTGGAAATGCAGACTGGTGCAGCCACTGTGGAGAACAGTATGAAGTTCCCTCGAAAAATTAAAAATGGAACCCCCATTTGACCCAGCAATCCTAAATATATCCTAAAAGTGATTAGGGAGTGATCAGGCTGGCAGGCAGAAGCGGTTAGGGGCAATCAGGAAGGCAGGCAGGTGAGCAGTTGGGAGCCAGCAATCCTGGATTGTGAGAGGGATCCCAGATTGGAAAGGGTGCAGGCTGGGCTGAGGGACACCATGCCCACCCCCTACCCCCATGCACAAATTTTGTGCACCAGGCTTCTAGTGCTCCTATAAAAAAAGAACTCTTACCATTTGCAACACATGGATGAATAAGGACAGCATTATGCTAAGCAAAATAAGCTAGTTGGAGAAAGATAAATATCACATGATCTCCTCATTTGTGGAATATAATGAACAACATCAACTGATGAACAAAAATAGATACAGAGGCAGGGAAGCATTGAATAGACAGTCAAACTTCAGAGGGAAGGCAGAGGAGGGTGGGAAGTGGAGTAGGGTAAGAGATCAACCAAAGGATTTATGCATATAAGCATAACCAATGGACACAGACACTAGGCGGGTTAAGGCATGTGCTAGGGGGTGGGGATGGCTGGGGAGAGGTCAATGGGAGAAAAAGGAGACATATGTAATATTATATGTAATACTTTAAACCAGTGTTTCCCAAACTTTTGACATCTGTGTACCCCTTCTATAATTTTCGTAACGCTGAGTACCCCTCGTACTCATGAGAACGTAGAATTAGGCTCAGTAAGCACAGTACAGTGCATACCCCCACCAAACTCTTCCCGTACCCCTGGGGGTACGCGTACCACACTTTGGGAAACACAGCTAAAGAATTTTTTAAACGAATATTCTTTGGCAGTTTTTGTTTGTTTCTTCTGATTACAATTCTACCCCATCTCTTCCTTCCCTTTTATTATAAGTGGCTCATTCTGCCGGCACCAGTTTGGCTCAGTGGATAGAGCATCAGCCTGCGGACTGAAAGGTCCCAGGTTCGATTCCAGTCAAGGGCAAGTACTTTGGTTGCGGGCACATCCCCAATAGGAGGTGTGCAAGAGGCAGCTGGTCGATGATTCTCTCTCATTGATGTTTCTAACTCTCTATCCCTCTCTCTTCCTCTCTGTGAAAAATCAATAAAAAAAATATATTAAAAAAAAAAGTGGCTCATTCTTTTCACATGAAGAGCTCATTCAGTGCTGTGGAGACAAGGAAGTAGCTTCAAGAAACATAGAAGCACTTTTGGAAACCCTCCCAAGGCTAGACTTGCCAGGTGCATGCTGCGGAGGGCACAATAGGCTCAGGTGGCAGCGTCAGAAAGCTGCTTGGCTTTGGTGAGGCAGCAATGGCAGGAAGGGACCCGTGACATCTTCCCACTCAGAGGATCACAGGCCACCAGAACAGGACTGTCCTCAGCGGCCATCTTTTCTAGTCCTCTTAATTGACAGTTCAAGAAGCAGAGGCCCAGGGGCTTGTCCAAGGATGCACAGTCAGGAAATGGCAAACAAAACCGAAGCTGACCTTCAGGCAGTGCTCTCCTCCTTTTCTGGTCCCTCCCAATTGAGCTCATATTGACCTTGGGGAAGGCCAACAGTGGGAGGTGGCAAAGAGAGGGACCTCTCCATGGCAGTTGCTTAAGGTCCACCGACCAGGCATCCAATGGTGCAAGAGGATGGAAACATCACCCTGTGTTTTCAGATAAACCTCCCAAGCAGGGGGGGAGTGGGGGGATTAGGAGGGGCAAGGGGGGACGGGGAAGTGCCTGGAAGCACCAGAAGAGGAGGAAAGGAGGGGCTGCTTTTCTGAGCAGGCTCTCAGAGGGCTCCTCCCACTCCCAGCCAGTCCCAAGAAACCCCCAGGTCACTTCCTGGGCTCTTGCTTACATTAATTATGATGGCAGGATACACTAAGGTGATGATCTTGTTCACCAGGATCTTCTCTGGACAGCTCTTCTCTTCTACCAGCGCACTGACGCGAATCAGCTTGTCTGTTGACAGGTGCTGGCTGTACTGGGAGTAGGAGATTTGACAGCGATGGGTCTTTGCTGGGGAGAGAACACAAGGATGAGGTGAGACTGCTGTGGAAATCAGCTGGACCTGGTGGATATGGGGACCCTTTTATAGAAAGGAGGAAGCCAACAAGTGCTGAGCCCCAGTGAAGCAGGTACCAGATTTTCAGATGGAGAGACTGGAAAGTGAAATGGACAGATCACAGACGCCCACTTGCCAGCATTCCCAGCAATTGCCCAAGGTTATTCTACTTATAAATGGGTGATCTGAGGCTCTAAATGTTGGATGACGCCAAAGCTCAGGTTTTCTCCACTAAGCCAGGCTGCTGCCCTTGAAGGAAGGGTAGAGGAAGAAGAGGAGACAGGAGGCAGTGGCAGAGGGAAGGAGGTAATGGAAGAAGAAGAGGAGTCTGTGCTGAGGAGACACCAGGACGATGGTGTCACAGGGAAGCTCCAGAACCCTTGTTGGCTAGCTGGACCCCAGTGGTATTTCCATAACCCATCTGTGTACGGAGTCCCCATGCCCACACCCAGAGCCCATACCTTCTTTAGGAACAAGATTGATGAAGGCTGTGTCCTGCCAGAACGGGGGCAGGGGACTGCCATTGTGCAGCAGAGACTGCGCACTCAGGTTCACTTTGAGGTCCTTGAGCTCCCGCGACATGTTGATGGCCAGCAGGACAAACTTTATGTCCTGGCCCATGTTGGGCAGGTCGAGCAGCTGTAATTCCAGGGAGACCTGGATAATATCACAGGTCCGGAGCGGGGGTGAATTCAGCCTCCGAGGCATGGGGCTGGAAGGTTTTGAGTCTGCTTGGTAGTGGCCTTGGGACTTGCCCATCTTCAGCTTCTGAAGAGCCTTCTGAAACACCTGTCTCTCCTGGGGAGAACCTGGGAGGGCAGAGAGAGCACCAGCGATGGGTCAGCGGTTAGGCCGTGGCTGAACATCCTCCCCAACAGCCATACCAACACTGCCAGGTTGTTCAAACTTTCAGTTTCCAACAACAAACACTCCCTACAATGTATCAGGTGCTTTCTAAGTGCCAGGCTCTGCTCAGCACTTCACTCCTTTCATCCTTACATCAACCATGAGAGAGAGATATTATTATTCTTCCATATACAGATGTGGAAAATGGGGCTTAGAGAGGTCATGTCAGTTGCCCAAGTCTCACAACTTGCCGGGGGCAGAGTCCAGGTAGAAACCAAATCCGCCTGTGCTCATGACCAATAGACTACACTAGTGGTCAGCAAACTCATTAGTCAACGGAGCCAAATTGAAACAGTACAACGATTGAAATTTCTTTTGAGAGCCACATTTTTTAAACGTAAACTTCTTCTAACGCCACTTCCTCAAAATAGACTCGCCCAGGCTGTGGTGTTTTGTGGAAGAGCCACACTCAAGGGCCCAAAGAGCCTCATGTGGCTCGTGAGCCGCAGTTTGCCGACCACGGGACTATACCGTGGGGAAGGCGACGGCCCACAAATGTGGAGAATAAACCTCTTAAAGACAACAGGGCATGCTTTGATTTCTGTCCCAGCACTACATTATTAGTCAGGTGTAGACTACCGGAACATGGAGAGATGAGAAACCACAGTAAAAAAAATAAGAGGAAATTCAGTCACGCTGTGTTCCCAGAGCACCCAGATCTCAGTCCTAGGGAGGCTCGGTGGCCAGGAAGTGCAGGGGTCCTCACCGGGCTTCCCTAATAATCCCAGCAGCTGCCTCCACTGAACTCTCACTGTAGCCAGGGCCCCGCTTTACGCTCTTAGTACGTCCCACAACCACCCAGGCAGAGGCCGCTTGCGTCTCCTTGCTCTGGAGGTTGTACTAAGCACTGTTTCATGCAGAAGAGAATCCGGAGACACTGGCTCAGTAAGAGTGGACCCAGGGAGATGTGGACCAGATGTATCTCATCTGTGGTGTGCTCCACCTTCAGGTCTTGTTGGGCTGGGTGGGAGGAGACAGAACGCTGCCTGGCTGAGCAGCACACACAGGCCCACCGGAATATAGCTCCCTGTCCCATAAGTTCACAGGGAACCCCGTGGACCTTGTAGCAAATTCTGCCCATGCCCCACCCACATTGCCTTGGCACTTGACGTTTCAATGCCCATGCGCCCTAATTTCAAATTCTAGCATCTGCTACTACTCTTTGCCTGAGGCTTTCTCTGATTTTGCATGGGGCAGACCAAAAGTGCTAGAGAATTTACACCCCAACCCCTGACCAAAAGGATTTGGTGGATCAATAATAGCCCCTTGCCTCTTGGATGGGATAAATCTAGGGCAGTGATCTTCAACCTGTGTGCCCCAAGAATTTTTAAAACATGCAATATGTGACTATTGCAGTCAAGGCACTGACCTCCTTTCCCTTAGGCTGTCAAATAAAAAATGGCCACAGCCAGCACAACAATAGAACCTGGTGTGTATGAATCAAAATTATACATATTTTTTATCAGATCAGCAAAATATATCTCTATGGTGTGCTGCAGAGTTTTAGTAATTAGTGTGTGTGCCATGAGATGAACAAGATAGACAGTCGCTGAACCTGGATGTTGTTCTACACTTTACGCTGAATCCCTGATAGGGTGGCCAGATTTAGCAAATAAAAATACAGGGCCATTTAATTTGAATTTCAGATTAACAACAAATAATTGGAGACATGGTTAGACTAAGGCAGTGGTCAGCAAACTCATTAGTCAACAGAGCCAAATATCAACAGTACAACGATTGAAATTTCTTTTGAGAGCCGAAAACCGACTTCTGTGCATGGGTCACGAAGATTCAGTCGCACTGCACGTGCGCGCTTGCATGTGGTATTTTGTGGAAGAGCCACACTCGAGGGGCCAAAGAGCGGCATGTGGCTCTCGAGCCGCAGTTTGCCGACCACTGGACTAAGGCATTATTCACCTTGTATTTTCCCTGGTGACCCCACTGGCAGAGATCCCCAGACAGCCTGCCTCCTGCTGCCCACAGGCAAACAGGCTTGTTGGGGTCCCCTGCTCTGGCTCCCTCCCCTTCCCTGTCTCCCTCGCTCACTCTCCTTTCTTCCAGTCGTTCTGGACTGCCTCACAGATAAACCACTTGTACTTGAATCCTTGCCTCAGGATCTGTTTCTGGGCACTCCAACCAAGATAACCCAGCCGAAGCCGGTTTGGCTCAGTGGTAGAGCATCGGTCTGTGAACTGAAAGGTCCCGGGTTCGATTCCAGTCAAGGGCATATACATTGATTGCGGGCACATCCCCGATGTTTCTCTCCCATCGACATTTCTAGCTCTCTATCTCTCTCCCTTCCTCTCTGTTAAAAATCAATAAAAAATATATTTAAAAAAAAAAAGATAACCCAGAGTGGATGGGGGTGAGAAGGGGATGGACGGTATTGCTGTGTAGCCCTTTCCTAGGCTTGGATTTTGGAACTTCTCTATGTTGGCCCCAAAGGCCCACATAGACAGACCAGACATTTACTTGCCAGCAATTGCTCAGCTACCCCCATCCCCACCCTCCACACCTTCCTGATCCATCCTACTCAGATCCTGCCCCTCACCCTGCTTCTGGCCCTCATAGGCTGGATATGTTTGTTTGGCTCCCTAGTGATTGAACTGGTGATTGGTCTTCCTAAATTTCCAGAAATTAGTCCACAGCTGGCTAATTTAGCTGCCCCTTTGCCCCTGCTGGCTTGGATAAGAAGCCCCTGCCAGGTCTCTCACCGCTCCAAATCATCTTCTGCAGGGCGGGCGCAAGAGTGAGCATATGGCCTTAAATCAGCCTCAGTGCTGACTGGTGGTCTGATTTGTCCTCCAAACACCCAATAAAACACAGTAAATTATGCAATACATTAAAGAAAATTAATTTAATTCATTAATAAGAGTTTTGTTTTTTTTTCTAAATGCCCCCATCTTCAGTGGGAGGTTGATTTGGGAGGAAGGCAGGGGTGAGGAATTCATATACTGTTGATGCCTGTCAGTGGCCCTATAACCAATGTGAGCATCTGTAAGAAAGCGCTCACTGGCCAGTGGGATGGGAGGTGGGGGCATGAGGAAGTGAGGCAGTGTGGATGCCTGAACTGGGAACTCAAAACTGAAGGGCTGAGGAGTCTGGACCTGGGTCCTGCCCCACAGACACCCTCTGTTCCCCAGAGGCCTGTTCCAGAGGGCTGAGGGGATTCCTGGGGTCAGGGGAAGGTGCCCACAGGACCTGGACTCTGAGGGGGCTGGCATAGTCATACCTTCTTCATACTTGTAGCTCTCCGTGATGTCATCCCGTTCATCACTCCGGATGCTCTTGGTGCTGATAAAATTGCCCACGGAATTCGTGTCCCGGTGAAGCCTCTGCTCCTTTCCTCCAAGGATGAGCCAGGACACACAGTCGGCATTCACCATGGAGAAGACAAAGGCCGTGTCGTAGTTCAGATCCACCTCTCCCTGTTTGATGGCTCTGACGGAGGCCGGGCCACAGCAGAACATGCCTGGAGGAGAGCAGAAGAGCAGAGGGGCCGTTGCAGGGACAGGGGGGCCCAGGGCTGTTTCCCTGGGAGCGGGTTTTGCCTTTCCCATGAAGAGCCTCACCATTGCTCCTCTCCTGAGGCGTGGAGTCCAGCACCTGCCAGCCTGCGTATCCGGGAGGGAGGTCTAGTCGGGCCATCCAGCACTCATTCCAGACGTGGAAATTCCTGAGGGAGAAGCCATGGGAGCCAGTGTCAAATGAGCGAAGGGCATGTTCATAGTGCTTGTGTTCCTTCTGGAGGGAGGCGGGGACGATGAGTGGGTGCACTGGTGGTTAGAAAGACAGATGTAGCACACCCAGGCCTTCAGACCTCTGTGGGTGAGTAGTGATGGTTCTTCCTCCTGTGAGCCCAACCTGCCCTACAAGAAGCTTTCCTCTGTTGAAGTCTAGAGAATGAAGGCTTCCAGCGCCGACTGAAGTTAAAAACCCGCTCGCTCTCTCTCTCAGAAAGTCCTCGTGACATTTCCTGTGTGTGCTGCTGACTCAGAGGCCATCATGATCTTTGTGTCTGGAGGAGAGACTTCCGGTCCTCCTGCAGCCCAGGCTGAGTATTAAATGAAGGAGGCGGCCAAGAGGAAAACCTCACCCAGGACAGGGAGCTCTTGTGATGATTGATTAGATTCTAACTCAAATTTGTTGTTGTTAAGAACAGCCTCAAGCCCAGGAACACCGGATCTCAGCCCAAAGGCTGGGACACAGCTCAACAACAACAAAAATTGATTGGGGATATTGAGCTGTAGGGCTGATGAAAGTGGGGGTGGGGGACATAAGAGGGTATCGGTCTCACGTGTTCTGGTGGGGTTCACCCTACACAGAGAACAAGAAGTGGCCTCTCACCAAACAGTGTCCTTCTTATTCTCCAAAATCCTGCCCGTGTGGTCGTAGTACTCATCTATGATCAGGTTCCCGTCTGTGTCGTGGCCAGAGTCAAAGTTGGTGATCACGCGGGTGGGGATCCCCAGGCACCTCATCACTGCGAAAAGGGCAGAAAACCTTTTGGGGCTGTGAATTCAGGAGCTCTGTGGCTTCCTGGAGTTAGGGCCCTGGGGAGTCCTGGGTTCCCCTGCCTGGGCCAGCAGGTTGGGGCAGGCACGCCTCTTTGGCAAGACTCCGTGGCCTGACTCAGTCTCACTTCTCTCCTGGCCATAAATTTCCACCTCCAAACCAAATACCTGGAGAGTTTTCCTTTCTATGATAGAGATTGTTGGCTGAGGACATCAGAGTCTTAGGCAAGGAGTCCTGGGGTTTGGATTCCCCCTTTTCTATGGGTGTATTGTCTTGGCAGCTTCTCAAAGAAAGCATCACAGATGCAGCCAGAGGGAAGGAAACTGTGTAACAGAAGCCGGGAAAAGGGAGGCTGTGCCTGGTGGGGCAATTCCGGAAAAGAGGTAGAATGTTATCTTTTCTCCGGAAGGTCCATCTCTTCCCTTTGCCAATCAACTTCTTTTCTTTGTCCTTTGCTCTATTTCTCCCACTCTGCGTTCTTTTAAGAACAGCAACATCTCCCAGCCCATCCTACCACCAGTGCCCCAGGGATCCCTGCCCCCTAAAGTAATAATAATGACATCTACCAGTAGGCATGGTGCTGTTTTACATACATTGTGCCCAGGACTATTCTACCTGGAAGCTGATGTTATTATCCCCACGAGGAGTCAGAGACTAAGTTTGCTTTCCTTGACCAAAGTCACACAGAGTTATCCTTCAAATCCTGGCTGTACTGCTAAGCTTGTACTCAATTCTGAGTTCGCCTCCCAGTATTATGCAAACAGTTCAGCATTCTAGTATTTTCACATTATTACACTTCTCAAGCACTTCCCTATGTTATCAAATATTTGGCAAAAGTAAGATTTCTAATGGTGTTTTTTTTTTTTTTTTAAGATATTTGATTGGTTTCCATTTCCCCCCCTGTTGTAAATAATGCTGTGAAGAACATTTTTATAGATCAATCTTTTTTCTTCCCTTGGGACAGATTCCAGAAGACAAAATGACAGTCAAAAAATATAGATAGTGGCTATTGGAAGATGAATGTCGACGGGAAGGCAGACTGCAGGATAGTGTGTGAGTGAGAGAACAAAAGGAGAGTGTGTGGACGTACAAGAGTGTATATTTGTGGGTGAGGGACAGCTAGATTCTAAGGGACTGTTGGGAATTGCCGGACCAGGCTCCCCTGACCCGGCAGCCTCCACTACTGCTGAAGTCTCTCCCAGAGCCACTGGCTCTGCTGTGGAGACCACGCCATCCTGAAAGGGAGACGGGCTGCTATCGGAAGTCTGTGCATCCTGGGATTCCACACCCACCACACCCAGGGAACAGCTTCGAGCCCAGGAACACGGGATCTCAAGCAGTGCGAATACCAGACTCGGATGAGCTCTGCACCTTCTCACAGAAAGGTCAGATGTCGCCTAAAAAGGTGAGGTCTGTGATCCAGGCTGGAGAGGAAAAATGCGCACAACGGGATCTAGAGGTTTGGGGGAAATTGGCACCCGACAAAATCCGCGGCCGTGAGGCTAGCGTGATCTGCGAATGTAGAAGTGGATCCACAGGGCTGCTAGCAGAAGGGAACTCTAAAGATCAACCCATAGCTGGACTGGGTGCAATAGGCAGCCTGAAATTTTACCAGTGTGCGGGCTGCTTAGTGCCCTGGGGGGGGTGGGGGGGGGGAGAAGACTTGCACAGAGATGTTCACAGAGTTGCCCGCAGAACCAGAAAGTCTTGAGTTTGCATGCTTACTCTGGCTCTTTTTTTGTCTTTAAATCCTTGCTTTTGATTACTAAGCCCAGTACATAGGATCACCCAATTGGGGACACTCTCAGAGACTGCAAGGGAAAGTTGTTTTGGTGGAACCTGGAGGTCAGAGTGGGGTGTAATGATCAGAGAACCAGCTCTGGGACAGTCCATTCTCCCAAACCAGTATTAAGTGTGACAGGGAAAACAAAATGTAAATACTGGCTAGAGAGGATTCACAGCCCAGGAGGTCAATCCAGAAACACTGCCACCCACGGGTTGAATCACAAATTGACTCTGTGTAAACACAAAAAAAGGAATCTTAAGAAACAGATACTGCCTGCTGGAAAATCAGGACTGTGGCTTGCAACACAGAGAAGCAGTGGAATGCAGGGAACTTCAATACTGTCCTGACCACTGGACAGGAAACAGGCATTCCAAACAGAACAGTAGAGGAAGTAAATGACCTTCACTACTGCGCATTTTTATTTTTTAATCTTTTAATTGAGATTTAAAAAAAATGGGCAAATCTAAATAGAAACTTTTCAAAAGAGGACATTCAGAAAGCCAAGAGACGCATGAAAATATGTTCAAAATCACTAATCATCGGAGAGATGCAAATCAAAACAACAATGCAGTACCACCTCACACGTGTCAGAATGGCTATCATCAACAAATCAACACATGACAAGTGCTGAAGAGGATGCGGAGAAAAAGGAACCCTCCTACACTGCTGGTGGGAATGCAGACTGGTACAGCCACTGTGGAGAACAGTATGTTGTTTCCTCAAAAATTTAAAAATGGAACTCTCATTTGACCCAGTAATTCCACTTCTGAGAATATATCCCAAGAAAACAGAAAACACCAATCAGAAAGGATATATGCACTCCTATGTTCATAGCAGCACAATTTACAATAGCTAATATTTGGAAACAGCCTAAATGCCCATCAGCAGATGGGTGGATTAGAAAACTATGGTACATCTACACAATAGAATACCACTTTGCTATAAAAAAGAAGGAATTTTTACAATTTGCAGCAACATGGATGTAATGAAAGAGCATTATGCTAAGTGAAATAAGCCAGGCAGTGCAAGAAAAATACCACACAATCTCACTCATTTATGAATAATAAAGAACATTATAACCTGATGAACAAAAAGATAGATTCAGAGGCAGAGAAGCATCGAATAGACTATCAAATTACAGTGGGAAGGCTGGAGAGTGTTGGGGGATGTTGGTAAGAGATCAACCAAAGAACTTGTGTGCATGCATATAAGCATAACCAATGGACACAAGACATTGGGTGGGAGAGGTAATAGGGGAGGCTGGGAGAAGGTCAATGGGGAAAAAAAGGAGACATATGTACTATTATTTGTAATACTTTAAATAATAAAATAAAATTTAACAGATAGATAGACAGAGGCCATCAGTGACTGCGTGTCCCTCCAAGCGGTCAGACTCATGGCAGGACAGGTCTTTAGGAAATTCCTTTCCCCCTTTGACGAGTATTCATTGAAAAGAGTGCTGCGGAAACTGTAACCAAATGAGGCATTATGCTTCCAGAAAAATCTCAAGGTAAAGTGTTGCAAAAAATAGTAGTCACTGTTGGATTGGGCTCCAAAGGAAAGGGTGGAGAGCTTCAACCTGTTAGCATGAAATTTGAAAATACAGGTGTCCTTCCAAAATATGGAGGTATCAAAGTAGTTCTAGATGACAATGACTATTTCTTTTCTTTCTTTTTTTTTTAAATATATTTTATTGATTTTTTTACAGAGAGGAATTGAGAGTGATAGAGAGTTATGAAATGTCAATGAGAGAGAAATATCAACCAGCTGCCTCTTGCACCCCCCGATTGGGGATGTGCCCGCAACCAAAGTACGTGCCCTTAACTGGAATTGAACCCAGGACCTTTCAGTCCACAAGCCAATGCTCTATCCACTGAGCCAAACTGGTTTCAGCGACAAGGACTATTTCTTATTTAGAGATGGTAACCTGCTTGGAAAGAATGGGGACTGAAATAAATCACTATTGAAATGGCGTCATGTGGAGCTGGCCATTCCATTGAAGTTCTGAAATCTTTGGTCATATAAATAATTTCTGTGTTTCTTTTTTAAAACTTAAATATATTTTATTGTTTTTTTACAGGGAGGAAAGGAGAGGAATAGAGAGTTAGAAACATCGATGAGATAGAAACATCGATCAGCTGTCTTCTGCACACTCCCCTCTAGGGATGTGCCTACAACCAAGGTGTATGCCCTTGGAATCGAACCTGGGTCCCTTGAGTCTGCAGGCTGATGCTCTATCCATTGAGCCAAACCAGTTAGGGCTCCATGTTTCTTTTATAATAAACTAATGAAAAAAAAATATAGACACTTCTCAGCGTTGTTCACACACTGCTGTAATTTTTTAAATGTTCATAATTTTTAGTTCAAATACATATTTATATTAAACATGTGATTGCTTATAGATTTTAGTTTAGCTCCTTCTCACACTTTGGCACAAAGCCTCTCAAAGCTAGGGCATGGACACACCCCTGGATATGGCCTCAGACGGGGAGGAGAGAAGCCCAAAGGGGAACCCGGAGTTCTCCTTGGAGAGGCACGTCTGCACATGGCCAAGGAACAAGGGCAGGGAGTGAGCAGGGCTGACAAGCGAGTTGTAGATGGAGTTGCCACAGGACAGCCTCAGAGGGGAAGGTGAAGGTTCGAAGAGTTGTCACTGAAGGAACCTGAGACGGGAGTGATGCAAGAGCATTCAAGTGACTCGGGAGCATGGCGTGGGCTAGGATTTATGATTGCAGTCAGACGGGTGGATTAAGATTATACTCAGACGGGTGGATAACACTTATGATAATAAGAGAATGTGCCAAGGAGAACTGAGTAGAGAGAGCAGTGAACAAGCCTCTGCTCTTCGCCCTGGTTGCTGAACTCATGAGCAGCCACTGGAAGTGCCAGTAGTGGTGTCAACTCCTGCCCCACATGTCTGGATGGGCACAGAGTAGATGTGCATTGAGTTGTGTTGGAAGCAGGTTGTCTTTAACCTGTGCACAGGATTTCTGCAAAGCATCACTTCCAATGATTCACAGTTTGACAGGAGGCTCAGGTGACTCACTGATAATTTCATGGGATTTGAGTCCCTCGTAAAAAGGAGACCAATATGGGGTGTGTTTGTGTGTGGGCATCCACAGGCCTGCACGCTCACATGGTGATATTTGGACAAAGGTGGAGAAGATCTCCGAGTTGGGAAA